TGGGACCCCCAAACCCCAACCTGGGACCCCCAAACTGGGACCCCCCAAATCCCAACCTAGGACCCCCGAACCCCAAACTGGAACCCTTAAACCACAAACTAGGACTCCCAAACCGGAACCTTTAAACCCTAAATTTGCCCGGCCTCCGTCCAAACCGGGACCCCCAAACCGGGACCCCCACACTGAGAGCCCTCAAACCCCAAACCGGGACCCCCAAACCAGGACCCCCACACTGAGACCCCTGACCCATCCGTGGATCCCACCCCTGACCCCCCTTTGGGGACCCTATTCCCCTCTAAGACCCCCCAGCACCCCCACCCCAAAAAGGCCCCCTGGGACCTTCGGCTGTCCCCAAGGACCCTCGGGGTGCCCCCAAGCCTCCTTTGGGACCCCCTTGGGGACAGACCTGGGGGTCGCCCTCCCCCCGGCGTGGCACTCTGGGGGTGTCACCGCGGGGTGACAGAGGGGCCCGGGGTGTCCCCAGCCCTGCGGGGACAGCGCAGGTGCCACCTCCGTGTGGCGGGGGGGCTGCCGGGGGGTGCCACCCCCTCACCTGTGCCGCGGGAGCTCACGTGGCCCCGCGCCCACCTGCGGCACGTGCGGCGCCTGGGGGGGGTCCCCGTGGGGCGGGGGCGGCCCGGGGGGCACCACGTGCGTGGGGACACGCGTGGGGACACGTGTGGGACACGGCGGGGCAGGTGTGGCACACCTGGGCTGCGTGTGGCACACCTGAGCGTGCCAGGGGACACGGGGGGGGACACGGGGGTGACACTCTGGGGGTGTCACACGTGTGTCCCCACGTGTCGCTCCCTCAGGTGGGTGGCCGTGTGTCCCCAAAGTGGGGGCGGTCCCCTCCTGAGCCCCCCCCCGTCCCCCCCCCATTCCGAGGGGCAGCCGCAGCCGGGGGTGACAATCCCGGGGTCCCTGAAGCCACCCTGTCACCCGTGGGGTGGCCCTGGGGACACGGGGGTCACCGGCAGGGGACATGGTGGCAGGGGGTGACACCGGCAGGGTGGCACAGCCCGAGCCCCGTGCCTTGTCCCTTTGTCCCCACGAGTGACACGGGGGTCACCAAGGCTGGGCCGTCCCCGCGGGGGGGTCCCTGAGGGTCCCCACGAGGGGTGGCAGGGCGCGGGAAGGTGACAATGGCCATCCCCAAGGTCACAGCAGCGCTGGTGACGTCTGTGCCCCCCCCCGCTCCCCCGGCCCCCCTCGCTGTCACCGTCACTGTCGCCGTGACCGGGGGACGTGGTGGCCCCTCCCCACCGCGTGGCTCCGGTGGCCGCGGCGGCCACACGGGTGTCCTTGTGCTGGCACCAGCGTGGGCAGGATGGCAGCGCCCGTGTCCCCACGCAGGTACCCCCCTGTGCCACCTGTGCCATCTGTGCCACCCTGTGCCACCTGTGCCACCCCATGTCACTGTGCCACCGGTGCCACGGGGGTGGCACTCCCCAGACGGGAATCCCCCAATTCCCCTCTCCCCTTCCTGTGACCCCCTGTCCCCAACCTGGGGGGCTGTGACCCCCTGTCCCTGTCCTGGGGGCTGTGACCCCCCCTGTCCCCAACCTGGGGGGCTGTGACCCCTTGTCCCTGTCCTGGGGGCTGTCCCTGCTCTCCTGGGGGGGGTCAATGCCACTCTGTCCCCCCCCCGGGGCTGTCCCCGGGGGTCTCTAACACCCTGTCCCCCTCCTGTCGGGTGTCCCCCCTGTCCCTGGGGGTCTCTAACACCCTGTCCCGCCTGTCCCCTCTGTCCCCGGGGGTCAATGCCATCCTGTCCCTGGGGATTTCTGACACCCTGTCCCTCCTGTCCCCTCTGTCCCCGGGTGTCCCTAACCCCTGTCCCCCTCTGCCGGGGGTCCCCTGTGTCCCCGGGTGTCCCTAACCCCCTCTGTCCCCGGGTGTCCCTAACCCCTGTCCCCCCCGGGTGCCCCTGACCCCCTGTGTCCCCGGCTGTCCCTAACTCCCTGTCCCCTCTGTCCCCGGGTGTCCCTAACCCCTGTCCCCCGTCCCCGGTGTCCCGGTGCCCCAGGCTCCGTTTCCTGGTGAAGCAGCTGGAGGCGGGCGAGGTGAGCGTGGAGGAGCTGAAGCGCAACCTGGAGTACGCGGCCTCGCTGCTCGAGGCCGTGTGCATCGACGAGACCAGGTGGGGAGGGGGCTGCGAGGGGCCGGCCCCGCTCCGGGGGGGGACAGCGGCGCGCTGAGTGTCGCCGTGCCCCCCAGGCAGGTGCTGGACACGGAGGACGAGCTGCGGGACATGGGCTCGGACGCGGCCGTGCCCTCCGAGGTGCGCGACTGGCTGGCGGCCACCTTCACGCAGCAGGCGCGGGCCAAGGGCCGCCGCGCCGAGGAGAAACCCAAATTCCGCAGCATCGTGCACGCCGTGCAGGCCGGCATCTTCGTGGAGAGGTGACAGGGGACACGGGGTGGGGACACAGCCAGGGGGGCGCGGCGGGGACAGCCCAAGACCCCCCAGCCCTGCCTCCCCCCAGGATGTTCCGCCGGACGTACACGGCCGTGGGGCCGAGCTACTCCTCCTCCGTCCTCAACTGCCTGAAGGTACCGGGGCACCCCAAACACCCCAAAACCACCCCAAAACCGCGGGGGGCTGCTGGGAGCTACTGGGAATGGCTGGGAGGCAATGGGAGGTACTGGGAGTAACGGGGAATCGATGGGAATCGATGAAATATCTGGGAATAACTGGGAATCAATGGGAATCAATCTCTAGGAATTACTGGGGTTTTACTGGGAATCAATGGGAATCGATGAAATATCTGGGAATAACTGGGAATCAATGGGAATCAATCTCTAGGAATTACTGGGGTTTTACTGGGAATCGATGGGAATCAATGAAATATCTGGGAGTAACTGGGAATCAATGGGAATCAATCTCTAGGAATTACTGGGGTTTTACTGGGAATCAATGGGAATCACTGGGAATAACTGGGAATCTCTAGGAATCATTGGGAATATCTGTAAATCTCTGGGATTCAATGGGAATCAATGGGAGTAACTGGGAATCTCTAGGAATCATTGGGAATATCTGGAAATCTCTGGGAATCAAAGGGATTCAATGGGAATCACTGGGAATTACTGGCAATCAGGGGGAATCTGGGAATCAATGGGAATAACTGGGAATTGCCGACTTCACTGGGGTTTTACTGGGCTTTACTGGGAATTGCTGGGCATTCCTGGAACTCCCGGCCACCCCCAGTGTCCCCGGTGTCCCCGGTGTCCCCGCAGGGGCTGGACCAGTGGTGCTTTGACGTGTTCTCGCTGCACCGCGCGGCCGAGGAGCACTCGCTGCGCACGGTGGTGTTCGAGCTCTTCACCCGCCACAACCTCAACAGCCGCTTCAAGGTGTGCCCGGCGCCCCAAAACCCCAAAAAATACCCAAAAATACCCCCTGCAACCTCAACAGCCGCTTCAAGGTGTGCCCGGCGCCCCAAAACCCCAAAAATACCCCAAAAAACCAATCCCCACAACCTCAACAGCCGCTTCAAGGTGTGACCCAACATCCAAAATCTTCCAAAATACCCTCCAAAACCCCCAAAACAGCCCCAAACCCCTCCCCAGGACCCCCAGACTCCATCCCAGGAGCCCTGAGACTCCCTCAGGACCCCCCAAGACCACCCAGGACCCCCAAACTCCACCCCAGGACCCCCGAGCTGCCCCTGGGCACCGTCCCCCCCCGTCACCCCGATGTCCCCCCTGGCAGATTCCCGGCGCGTTCCTGACGTCGCTGCTGGAGGCGCTGGAGGGCGGCTACGGAAAGTTCCGGAACCCCTACCACAACCAGGTGCACGCGGCCGACGTCACCCAGACCGTGCACTGCTTCCTGCTGCGCACCGGCATGCTGGTACGGGACACGGGGACACGGGGACACGGGCACAGCGCTGTCCCCAGGGCTGGCACCGCGCCACCCGCCCGCTCCCCTCCGCCTGGCGGGGCTCGTTGCCATGGGAACGTCCCCAGGGTGGCACCGGGGACAGGTGACACGCATGGGGTGGCACCTGCAACGCGTCTGTGCGCGGTTGTCACATGCGGGGTGGCACCTGGCACACATCTGTGCCCGATTGTCCCCGTCTGGCTGTCACACGCGGGGTGGCACCTGGTGCATGTGCTGCCCGCTGTCCCCACACGGCTGTCACAGCACACCTGGGGTGTCACACTCACTGGGGGTGGCCCTGTCCCCATCCCTGTCCCTGTCCCTGTCCCCAGCACTGCCTGTCCGAGATCGAGCTCCTGGCCATCGTCTTCGCCGCCGCCATCCACGACTTCGAGCACACGGGGACAACAAACAGCTTCCACATCCAGACCAAGTGAGGGCGCGGGGACAGGGGCACGGCGTGGCACAGGGGCATGGCATGGCACAGGGACACGGCATGGCCCGGGTGGCACACCATGGCACAGGGACACGGCATGGCACAGGGACACAGCAGGGCCCAGGTGGCACGGCATGGCACAGGGACACGGCATGGCCCGGGTGGCATGGCAGTGTGGGTGGCACGGCGTGTCCCAGGCAGGGCTGCGGACCCGTCCTGGGGACACCGTGGGGCACCTTGGGGACACCTGAGGAACGCTCAGGGCCACCAGCACAGCCGGGACACAGCGGTGCTGCCACCCCGGGGCCACCCCTCGCTGCGGGGGTCCCGTCCCCGTGCCCCGTGTCCCCATGTCCCCGTGTCCCAGGTCGGACACCGCCATCCTGTACAACGACCGCTCGGTGCTGGAGAACCACCACATCAGCGCCGTGTTCCGCCTGATGCAGGACGAGGAGCTCAACATCTTCGTCAACCTCACCAAGGACGAGTTCGCGTAAGCTCCCCTCGCTGTCCCCGCGCTGTCCCCTCGCCGTCCCCGCGCTGTCCCCGCGCTGTCCCCTGACCGTGTCCCCTCCCTCCCCGCAGGGAGCTGCGGGCGCTGGTCATCGAGATGGTCCTGGCCACCGACATGTCCTGCCACTTCCAGCAGGTCAAGTCCATGAAGACGGCGCTGCAGCAGCTGGAGAGGTGGGTGGGGGTGGTCCCCGGCCCCCAGGTGTGTCCCCAGGGCTGGCGCGGTGGCTCTGGGGACAATCTGAGCGCCGGGCTGTTGTCCCCAGGCTGGACAAGTCCAAGGTGCTGTCGCTGCTGCTGCACGCGGCCGACATCAGCCACCCCACCAAGCAGTGGGCGGTGCACAGCCGCTGGACCAAGGCCCTCATGGAGGAGTTCTTCCGGCAGGTAGGGCCGGGGCCGGGCGGGGGGAGTGGGGGACACCCCGTGGGGACGCCACGGATGTCCCTTGCCTTGCCAGGGGGACAAGGAGGCCGAGCTGGGGCTGCCCTTCTCGCCCCTCTGCGACCGCACCTCCACGCTGGTGGCCCAGTCACAAATCGGTGAGTGCGGGGTGGGTTCTGTCCCTGGCCTGTCCCCACGCCGTCCCCTCGGTGTGTCCCCAGCAACACCGCGTCCCCTCCTGTCCCCAGGGTTCATCGACTTCATCGTGGAGCCGACGTTCTCGGTGCTCACCGACGTGGCCGAGAAGTTGGTGACGCCGCTGGCCGAGGACGGCTCCAAGGCCAAGGGCAACCCCGCGGCCACCCAGCAGCCCAGGTGGGTGTCCCTGTCCCCAAGGTTTGTGCCCTGTGGTGGCAGCGGTGGCCCTGGCCCGCTGCCAGCTGTCGCCGTTGTCCCCCAGCTCGCAGTGGCGGCAGCCGTCCCTGGATGAGCACCTGGAGCTGGGGGACGTCAAAGCCGACCTGGCCGGGTTCCGCTCCACCTGGACCAAGCACATCCAGGAGAACAAGCAGAAGTGGAAGGAGAGGGCGGCCAGCGGTAGGGGACGGCCACCATGGCCACCATGGCCACCATGGCCAGTACAGCCACCACAGGCAGTACAGCCACCATGGCCACCATGGCCACTATGGCAACTATGGCCAGTACAGCCACCACAGGCAGTACAGCCACCATGGCCACCATGGCCACTATGGCAACTATGGCCAGTACAGCCCCCACAGGCAGTACAGCCACCACAGCCACCATGGCCACCACAGCCACTATGGCAACTATGGCCACCAATGGCCACCATGGCTGCCAATGACCACCAATGGCCATCATGGCCAGTACAGCCACCACAGCCACTATGACCACCAATGGCCACCAATGGCCACCACGGCCACCAATGGCCACCAATGGCCACCACTGTGGCCACCAGGGAGGGCTTGGGGACCACCGTGAACTGCTCAGGGCCAGCTCTGTCCCAGTGTGAGGTGACACAAACGCGGCGCGGGTGGCCCTGGGCTGTGCAGGGGGGTGGCCCCGGGGGGGACAGAAGTTCTGGGGTGTCCCAGTGACCCCGGGCCATGCCCCGGTGACCCTGCCCGTGCCCCCAGGCATCACCAACCAGGCGTCCATCGATGAGCTGTCCCCGTGCGAGGAGCCCGCGGCCACCGGGACCCACAGCGAGAACGGGGACGTGGAATAGCGGCGGGAGGAGCCAGGTGGGGACACCGGGACAGGGCGGGGACACCGGGACAGGGGGCGGGGACACCGGGAGAGGGTGGGGACACCGCGACAGGGGTGGGGACACCGGGAGAGGGGCGGGGACACCGGGACAGGGGTGGGGACACCGGGAGAGGGGCGGGGACACCGGGAGAGGGGCGGGGACACGGCGGTGACTGTCCCCTCCCGGCAGGTCCTTGTCCGAGTGTCTTGTCTTCGATGCCATCGAGTTCAGCACCATCCGCAGGGCAGCAGCCCCGGGGCCGGGCTGGGATCGGTGCCAGGACCGGGGTCACTGCCGGGGACACCGGGACAGGGGTGGGGACACCGGGAGAGGGGCGGGGACACCGGGAGAGGGGCGGGGACACGGCGGTGACTGTCCCCTCCCGGCAGGTCCTTGTCCGAGTGTCTTGTCTTCGATGCCATCGAGTTCAGCACCATCCGCAGGGCAGCAGCCCCGGGGCCGGGCTGGGATCGGTGCCAGGACCGGGGTCACTGCCGTGCCAGGACAGGGGTCACCTCTGTGCCAGGACTGGTGTCACCCCCGTGCCAGGATCGGTGTCACCGCCGTGCCAGGACCGGGGTCACCGCTGTGCCAGGACTGGGGTCACCGCTGTGCCAAGAGCCCCCCAGGCTGTCCCCTCTGTCCCGGTGTCACCGGTCCCTCACTGCCACCCCCGGCCCCCCGCCGGGCTCGGTCCTTTGGGATTTTTAAAAACGCTTTTCCCGCGTGGGAGGGGCTGGGGACAGCCGGGGGGACACGCTGGGGACAGCCAGGAGGACACGGTGGGGACAGCCGGGGGGACACGCTGGGGACAGCCAGGGGGACACGGTGGGGACAGCCGGGGGGACACGCTGGGGACAGCCAGGGGGACACGGTGGGGACAGCCGGGGGGGACACGGTGGGGACAGCCGGGGGGACACGGTGGGGACAGCCGGGGGGACACGGTGGGGACAGCCAGGGGGACACGGTGTCACCGCCAGGGCCACCACGCTCCCCTTGATGCCCGCGTGGTCTGGCTGGTGACACTGTGAGGGTGGCACTGTGCCCTGTCCCCATCCCACCCGGGGACAGGGACACGAGAGGGGACAGGGACAGGGATGGGGATGGGGATGGGGACAAGGACAGGGACAAGGACAGGGACAAGGACAGGGACAGGGACAGGGACGGGGATGGGGATGGGGACAAGGACAGGGACAAGGACAGGGACAAGGACAGGGACAAGGACAGGAGGTCCCCACGGGGTCCCGCTGGCGCAGCGCGGGTGGCACTGGGGACAAGGAGAGGACAGGGACAGATCCTGCTCCAGTGTCCCCCGACTCCCGCCCGTCCCTGGGATGTCCCCACTCCCTGCGACATCCCGGGAATACCGGGAATGTTCGGGAATGCTCGGGAATGTTCGGGAATGCTCCCACATCCTGGTCCAGCCTCCCCCAGCTCCAGTGAGCCTCGGGAATCGCGGGATGTTTGGGGAATCCATGGATCCAACCTTGGGAATGTTCCAGAATCTGGGATCGAGGCTTGGGATCTTCCAGGATCCCGGATCCACCAAGCCTTGGGAATCTCCAGGATCCCAAACTGAGCCTCAGGAATGTTCCAGAATCCCAGATCCGGCCCCAGGAATGTTCCAGGATCCCGGATCCAGTCCCGGGAATGTTCCAGAATCTCGGATCCAGAGTTGGGAATGTTCCAGAATCCCAGATCCGGCCCCAGGAATGTTCCAGGATCCCGGATCTGGTCCCAGGAATGTTCCAGGATCCCAGATCTGGTCCCAGGAATATTCCAGGATCCCGGATCTGGTCCCAGGAATGTTCCAGAATCCCGGATCCGGCCCTGGGAATGTTCCAGGATCCCGGATCCAGAGTTGGGAATATTCCAGGATCCCAGATCTGGCCCTGGGAATGTTCCAGGATCCCGGATCCAGTCCCAGGAATGTTCCAGGACCCCGGATCCAGTCCCAGGAATGTTCCAGAATCCCGGACCCGCGCCCCTCGAGCACCCCCTGCCATCCCGGATTCCCTCCGGCTCCCCGGGGCTGCCCCGACCCCCGGGAATGTTCGGGAACGTCCCGGGAATGCTCAGGAATGTTCGGGAACGCCCGGACCCACCCCCCCCCCAGCCCCTCCCCNNNCCCCCCGTGTCCCTGTCCCCCCCTCCCCGTGTCCGTGTGCACGCGAGTGTCCCTGTCCCCCCCCGTGTCCCCTCCCCGTGTCCCCCCAGGTGTGCACAGGTGGGGGGGCCCAGGGGACACCCCAGGGTGGCAGTGAGGGGGGGGCTGCTCCGTGTCCCCAGTGCCCCCCGCCCTGGGGACCCCCGGGGCTGGCAGTGGGGGTGGGGGCACGCAGGTGTCACTCAGTGTCCCCGGTGCCCCCCAAGGGTGGCAGTGAGGTGGGGGGGGGGGGGTGGCACGTGTCACCTGCCCTGGGCACCCGGGGGTGGCAGTGAGGGGGGGTCTGCTCAGCGTCCCCAGTGTCACCTGCCCTGAGGTCCCCAGGGGGAGGGGACAGCCCTGGCGTTGTCCCCAGACCTCCCCCCTCGGTGGGGACCTGCCCGTGGGAATAAAATCAAATAAAAAAATCCCAAAAGGATTCTGGGCGGCCCCAAAATCTTAGAAAATGGAATAAAAAAATCTGCGCTGGCGTCCGGCTGCCGCGGCCACTCCTGGGGACAAGGGACAGGGACAGCGCTGGGGACAGGGGAGGGGACAGCCCTGGCCCTGCCCCGTGCCAGCAGGGCCACCCTGGCCCTGGCACTGTCCCTGTCCCTGGGGAGTGGCGGGGAGTGTCCCAGTGACACCTCAGTGACACCCAGTGACACCCTAATGTCCCAGTGACACCTCAGTGACACCCAGTGACACCCCAGAGACACCCAGTGACACCCCGGTGCCATCCCAGTGACACCCAGTGACACCCCAATGTCCCAGTGACACCCAGTTACAGCCAGTGACACCCCAGTGACACCTCAGTGCCATCCCAATGCCCCAGTGCCAACCCAGTGACACCCCAGTGCCATCCCAGTGACACTTCAGTGCCATCCCAATGTCCCAGTGCCATCCCAGTGATGTCCCAGTGCCACCCTAGTGCCCCAGTATCATGTCCCAGTGCCCCTCCACTGCCCCAGTCCAGTATCACAGTGCCCCCAGTGTCCCCAGTGTCCCCAGTGTCCCCGGTGTCCCCAGGCCGTACCTAGTGGCCGCTGCCCGCGCTGTCCCCAGGCTCTATATGGGTCCCGTCCTCAGCCCGGCTGCGCCGCACGGTCCCGGGGGTCCCGGCCCGGGGGGTCCCGGCTTGGGGGGTCCCGGCTTGGGGGGTCCCGGCCCGGGGTGTCCCAGCCTGGGGTGTCCCATCCCCGGGTGTCCCTGCAGTGTCACAGCACAGGGGGTGACCCCAGGGCCCCCCAGCGTCCCCCCGAGCCCCCCCGGGTTC